TTCCCCTTTCATTGTCGTACTGTAGAGTCATTCACTAAAGCTGATTTGTTTTTTTCCTACAAGAAGGTAAATTTGTGGAAAACTTTTGCCTTAATTTTTTTATTTCAGCTTTCTCTACCACCAAATCATCATATACAGTTGTAGTCAATAAGACATAAATTTGAGGCAAACCTACGAAGAATTCATTCCAGGCATTTTAATGACAATATTTCCAGCAATAAATGTGAATTATCAGCTTCCAAACTAATAGTAACCTAGTCACTTGTTAACATTATCTTTCTGTGCCAGTAGAGTGCATAGCCCTTGATACAACAGATTATCACTAGTTTGGAACAAGTAGACTAGGTATGCATAAAAATAAGTCTTCCTTAGCATTCCTGAAAACAAAAAAAATTACTTCAGTTTACATGGTAGAAATTCCCTCAGCAGTAAAGCCTTCTTGAACAAGAAATATGCAAATTTCAGGTTCTATTTTAATCAGCCATCCCACTCAGTAAAATATCCTATGGACATAGAAGGCGGAGGTTAAAAAAAGAGCAAATAAGAAATGATTCAGTTTAATGAAACAATTAACTAAAAAAAATTATGTCATGTCTTTTCTTCACAGCTCCTCCATAGAATCAGTATATGACTTAACAGATGTTATTGATTGCTTTGTGCCTCCAAAAATAATTATCCCTGGCTCACCAAGACAAAACAAGGATTGAGAAGATACTGTCAATGATAATTCTTCAGATAGAAGACTTTCTATGAGGATTAGATGGCATTACCCCACACAAGAGCCTTATCAAAACTAGAACTGTTCGAGACTTTCAACTAGAATAAGAAGAATCTCATTACAATATAGCTATCTCTATAAGGAAATTTTTTGAAAGAAAACCTACCATATATTTATTTTCCAAGTATCCAAGATCATCCCTAGTTCTATACTCACACTATTTCAAAAAATTTTGTCTTCCTTGATGAAGTAAAATAATCTTACCATATGTTTCATTTTTAGCCTTTTATTTAGATCCTCCATGATTAATGCTGTTTTATAGAACATCTTTCACTCTCCTAAATTCATTTTTTGCTTGCAGCTATTATCATAAATTAAATATTATTTTGTAAGCAAACCATAGCAGACAAAGTCCAATCATGAAAATTGTCTTTATGAAAACTGAATATTCTTTTGAAATAGTTTATCATCACATAATCTATATGGCAAGGAAGACTCTTACTACCACTAAACACCAGTCACATAATAGAATAAAAGTTCATTTTTTTAAAATGGCTTTTCTGAAGGCACTGTCAGGCTTGAAGATAAAAATGACGTGTGATCTTTATTATACTCAACACATGCACTAGGTGTTGGACCAGATACACTAAAGAATCTTCTCAATAATTTTTTTAAAAATCTACTCTAAACTTTTCTTTCATTCTTCCCCAGACAGATTAATCACTTTAATGCATAGGTCCAATCAAGGGAAATAATGTATGCAAAGCATGACAAAAATTAAAGTGCTATATAAATGTGAATTGAACTGGTGTTTGTGATATCTTTCTCCTCATCATCACCATCATCATCACCACAGACCCTTCTCTTTACTCTGGAACCAAATTTGCATGGGATTTTGAAGACATCATTTGTTGTATATACCTACCATGGATCAGGGGTATCCTAATTTCTGGATTGTCATTAATATTCCTTTATCCCTATTTGATAAGAATTGCTAGGAAAGTTGGAAAACAGTTTGGCATAAGTTAGATTTAGACCAACACCTTATAACAAATTCACAATAAGCTCTCTCTCTCTCTCTCTCTCTCTCTCTCTCTCTCTCTCTCACACACACACACACACACACACACACACACACAAAGATACATGAATATACAGGTTCTTATTTGACATGAAAAGATACACAACATGGGATATTTTTGTTGATTTGTATTTTTTTTCTTTTTTGACATAAAATTTGATATTATGTACTTAATATCATCAACAAACATGAACATTTAATATATGAAAGACAGAAAAGATGTCTGCGTTCTGATCCACCTCCCATTATATAGGATTCACCATTCAATCCACTATATATTCACTCTATTCATATTATATAGCATCATATACAATTCACATTCATTGTTACAACTGTTAGTTGTGTTTTTCCTTTCATCATATAGAATGACATGTTTTCCTTCCTTTATTCTCTACTCCTCTCACCATTTACATAAGGAAAAAAAAGGTGGAGAAAAAAAGGAATGGGATCCACACAAGTAATCAACACATTTTAAAGTTTAAAACATAAAACATGTTACTTCTCCCTGTGGTCACCAAATCAGAAACTCAGGAAAATGATTTCAGCCAGTAGAATCTCAGGAAAAAACCCTGACACAGTTTTCCCTTGGGCTAAATTTTAAGAAGCTACTTAGCCAAACAGCCTCCCTGCACCTTTGAAGAACCATCCCAGCGCAAACCTTGGAAATTAAAGCCTGGTATGCAATGGATCCATAGGGTCTACCTATGAAAGGAGATCTAAGGAGCAGAGCAGAAGAAGAAAGAGATTCTGGGAGCAGCTCCCTCAATGATGAGTGTTGCGAGACCCTGTTCTCACGAATGCAGTAAGGTGGCCACCCTTCTTTCTAGTGATGGTTAAGCTCCTACCACAGCCAAGGATGGAATGCACCTAAGAAAGGAAAGCAAGAATATATATTTGCTAGATATCTTGCGAATCGAGTCAAAAAGGCTTTCAAAGAAAAGAGATCAATGAGAGAAAATTGGCTCTGTACATTCACCAGGCTCAGTACAACGTGTAAAGAAGGAAGAAAACACTTCTTAAGCACTTGCTATGTGCCAGACTCTGAGCTAAGTGTTTCATAACTATTTCATTTGATCCTTACAATATCACTGAGAGGTAGGTGCTATTATTCCTACTTTATAGCTGAGAAAATTAAGACAATCAGAGGTTAAATGATGTACCTATATCTGAGGCCCATATTTGAATTCAGGTCTTCATGACTCCTGGCCCAGGGTTCTATCCGCTATGCCACCTAGTGGTCTATGCCATATAAAGGAGGTGACCATTCCAGACCCATACTTGAAATACTCCCATCTTGGTAGAACTTGCCAGAGATTACAGTGGCTTGGCACAGTCTTTGAGAACCCAGAGTCACCTTCGTGCCATAATGAGGAGGAGGATTTCTTAACCATTTTTGTGTCATGAGGCAATGCATAGTTCCCTTTGACACTCTGGCAAAGCCCAAGGATTCCTTCTCAGGATAATGTTTTTTAAAATGAGATGTATGAAAAGCAAAGGACACAGATCATATTGAAATATATATATATTATCTATACATATACATACAAATACATACACATACATATATATATAATAATATATATATTTATATGGTTTACCCAAGTGTTTAGTTCTAGTTGATTTTCTCACACACACACACACACACACACATATACATATGGTTTACCCAAGTGTTTAGTTCTAGTTGATTTTAGGAAAGCATTTCATATCTGACTTCTTTAGGCCACAGGCTTTACCACTAGCTCCTTTCTTGGATTTTGTTTCCTGTGAACTTCTGAGTATCTCAGCTGCTATTGTGCCTTAATTTTGTGATTTTTCAAAAAAAAGATTACTTTATTGAATTTATTGAATTTTATCTGAATTTTATAGTGGATTTTCCTTTAAATCAGAGCCAGACTGGTGTAGTGGATAGAGAGCCAGGAAGACCTGATTTCAAGTCCTGCCTCTGATACATGCCATGTGACCCCGAGCAAATGGCTTAACCTTTTAGTGCACCAGGAAATCCTCCAAGACTACAAGTTGCAGTGAGGTTTCTGATTTTTATTGGTAGATGCAGTTTCCTCATTTGAGATTTCCCTATGCCAATACCTATCCATCCAATGTCCATCTAATTCCTATCCCTATCCTATTTTCCTTTATATATAAACCCTAGAAAATATACTGTTATGGTTCAAAGTGGAGAGTAGCTGAAGTTAGAAAGGAAAGAGAAAACCAGATGCTAGAATTGAGTACCAAGACATCATGACAGAGTTAGAAGGTCATTAAGTTCTAAGTACAAAAGATATCTGAACTTAAGGAATCAAGCAAACTTAGGGAGTAAGTCAGGTTCAGAAAGCCCAGTGTCTAGTTAGAAAATGCAACCTTGGGGCTGAAAGCACAGGTTCATTAAACCAATTCCAACCAGAGTTAATAATATTCTAGAAACTGTTATAGGCAGGCCAGGCTTGAGATCATGGAATGAGTCTTTCAAAAGTTCCCTGGTGGCCCACATATTCCTAAAGAATGTAAGCTTCTTTTTTTCCAAGTTCAATCCCTTCCTTTTCTTTTTCTTTTCTTTTTTATTAATTTCTTTTGATTTATCAACAATCACTTCCATAAGCTTTTGAGTTTTAAATTTTTCTCCCTCTCCTTTCCCCCTCTCCCTCCCCAAGACGGCCCACAATCTGACATAGGCTATACATATACAAGGATATAAGCTTTTAAAGGGCAAGGAACTGTCTCATGTTTGTCTATGCATCCTCAGTTCCCACAGTGCCTGCCACAGAGTAGACACTTAATAACTAAACCTGACATTACTTCCCTGTATGTGTTATATTTCCTCCATTAAACTATATGTTCCTTGAGGTCAGAGACTGGCTCATTTTTGTATTTGTTTTTCCGTCACATAGCATAGTGTTTATCCCAAGCTTGTTAACTTCATTGATTTCTCATTAGTTGGGTATATTGCCACTGCCTGACTTTCTTCCCCCCAAAGAGGAACATGAGCTGGGGACAGTATCACTGCTGCCAGGCCTCATTGTGTCTAGAGAAATCTATGCCAAGTTCTCCTGTTTTTCTACAGGTCCATGGGATCTGGAAGTTCAACAGGAGATAACCCAGGTCCTGCCCCTTGCCCCTTGCCAAAGGCCACGTAGATGCTGTGGTAAGGACACTCTGTACGCCTCTAACAATAAGTACAAGAAGTGCCCGGTGAAATCCAGTTAGGCATAGTGTGGGCATGACATCTTCTGACCTTTCTAACTTCCGTGAATTTCTCAACCAAAGCCGTTGTAACAGGAAAGGGGTCCACGCCTCTCCAAATCCCGGAATTGACAACCACAACTTAAATCTCAACCACAAAGGTCAGCCTAACTATGAAAAACTGTTTAAACTGGGATGTTGTTTTTTTTTCTGGGTATTAACACACTGATTCTTACATTAGTCTTTGTACTAGTATCTGTAAAGGGAAATTGTCCCCAACAAATCGATCAGTTGTTTGAGGGAAAAACAAATATATAGGAAGTGGATAAAGGGAGAAGCATTTATTCACTTGTTCATTGATTTAACTGTATTTGTTGAATTTATTGAATCTCTCTCTCTCTCCCACAGATAGGAAAGACAGCGAATAAAGGTGGCACAGTGAGACATCATAACAGTGGGATGTTTTCATATGCTATCCGTAACATAGGAATATAAAATCTGCCATACTAGAATTTTAAAAGATTTCAGTGCAGCATTATAATTTCATCGCCATAAAGAATTTCTGCCATAAAAACTCCTACTGATAGAACTCAACAGTTCCTCTGCAATTTAGTTGACTGGGGCACTGAGAGGCTGTGACTCCCCAAGAATTACACTAGTGGTTCCACAGCTCCATCGGCCCGTGACAAGATCCCAAGGAGGCAGGGGAATGATCCCAAAGGGTAATCAATCTGAAGGTGGGTCACGTCCTGTTAACGCTCTCTTTGATAATTTCCCAAATACCTCCTTTTTAGCCATGATCACCCAATACTCTCCCACTATGCCTCTTCCCACCACTGGTGCCCTACTGCTTTACAAGCTCCCAAACTCTTGTCTCTCTATCTATACAAGCTGGCTCCTAAGCTATAACCTAACCAGGACCTCCAGAGGCAGCTGAAAAAACAAAACTCCCTCCCCACGGCATATGTACATGGCTCCAGCAAGCTTCCCCGAGTGGGCTCTGGGCTCCAGGACAGCGACTTCTGGTGAGAGCCTCACCCTGCCTCCAGTCACTTTTGTTTTAGATGCAGACAGAGTGAGGCACAAGGGATGAGCAGGCCTAGGTTGTCTGTGATTTGCATGACAGATTTCATTGTGTTCTCTTCTCTTTCACCCACCCTTCCCCAAACCTTCCCCTCTGCCAACCTTCCCTATTTCTCTTGAGGGTACCACCATTTTTACAGAGGACCAGTTCAATGCCCACTCACACTCCCTTACCCTATATATCTAATTAATTGCCAATTAAGTCCCTATGATTCTATTTGTAGAACATCTCTTGTATCCATCCCCTCATCTCTACCTTTGGGTGTTGTTCAGGCAGGTAGATGGCACAGTGAAAAGAAAGCTTGTCCCGGAGTCAAGAAGACCTGAGTTCAAATTCCACCTCAGACACTTCCTAGCTGTGTGACCGTGGGCAAGTCATTCAACCTGACTACCTCAGTTTCCTCAACTCTAAAATGGGGACAATAGTAGCACCTACCTCCCAGTGTAGTTGTGACTAAAAGGAAAGTACATCACCTCTCAAAGCCTCAGTTTCCTCAACTGTGTATGAGAAAAATATTTGTATATTTATAGGATAATTACATAAAATTATTATTTATGCATTTATGCAATTATATAAATTATTATTTACTATTATTGTTCAATCGTGTCCAACTCTTTGTGACCCTGCTTGAGATTTTCTCAGCAAAGATATTGGAGTGGTTGGCCATTTCCTTCTCCAGCTGACTTTACCGATGAGGAAACTGAGGCAAACCAAGTGAAATGATTTGCCCTGGGAAGTGTCTGAGGCTGGATTTGAATTCAGGCCTTTCTGACTCCAGACCTGTTGCTCTATCCACTGTGCCACCTAGCAGCCTTTAAATTATTATTCATATAGTTATATAAACTGCTACTTATATGATAGTTATATAAATAAAGTGCTATGTTTACATGTTATATAAAATAAAATTATTATTTGTATAACAATGAAATTAAATTATTACTTATTACCATAAAAATCATACTGCCACTACCTACCTCACAAGGTTGTTTTGAGAAAAAAGCCAACAAGTTTGTAGTCCTTTACTATGTCTACATATCTATCTTTCTATCTATCTATCTATCTATCTATCTATCTATCTATCTATCTATCT